ATTTGAAGTATCCATTTTCTGTATGAATTGCTTCCCATCTACTGGGGGGGAAATATACTGGCAATGTTATGTTATCAGTGGTGATGATGGGGAGAAATAAATGGAAAACAGTCCTAAACATAAAAAGAAATGTGTAAGCCACTGGACTCTTTAAATATAATAGCTTCCGTTCTTTCTAGGCTAGATGGCCAACTATAGGCAGCATGTGACCTAAGTAATAGCACCCTGCTTGCAGATTCTAGGGTGTCATCCCTGCCCCCCCATTATGTCACCAGCCATCCACTACTTAATACACAGCACATACTGATTTGAAGATCTCAGCTTCTTTAAACCATTCTTTTTCTGAATCCCAATCAAGCATTACTGCTTTTGTACAAGACTAGTGTGGTAGAGTGGATAGGGTGATGAACGATGGAGAACACGGTTTGAATCTCCACTTGGCCATGTAAACTCAATGAGGGAAGTTTCGTTAAATATCTCAATTACTTGAAAGCCCTGTCGGGGTCATTGTAAGTCAGTTCCGGCTTGATAGCACAGAACGAACACACACACACACACACACACACCACTTAGTAAATGGAAGCACTTCCTGAGAGAACGATGCTGTTTTCCCGTCTCTAGGTAGAAGGATGCATCCAAGGAGAAAATACCAGTGAACCACCCACCCCAATATTCATATCATGCCTCTAATCCTGCAGTCATAGTAATCAACTCTAACCTCTTTATATTTAAATAGTTATCAAACTCTCAATGATTTGAGCTCAGTTGAATTTTAGAGACAGTCTTATATCTTGTCTGCCTGCTATTATTTCCAATGAAAACCATTAGGAAAACTATATGGATATCTGGAAAAAAGGTTTTAGCAATTGCTCAGACTTGTTTTTCCTTCTCTCGGAGGTTCATCAAAGCTTAAACATAGCATTTGTTCAAGACACTATTTAATTCCCTTTGGTCAGCAGGAACCTCTGTTCACATGGACATTATGGTACTTTTTTTCTCTTTAACTCTAGCTAGATCATCTGCGTCCCGGTGTCAGTCTGTGGCCTGAGCCGGACTGGGCCGTGGAGAGAGACCTCCCACCCTGCCCCCACCGCACAGCCTGTTTGTGCCTGCGTGCGAGCGCCTGCACAAGTGCTGCACCACCCTTTGCACATATGCACAAGCATGTGTGCCCACACAAGTGCTGTGCTGCCCTTTGTGCATGCACACAAGCACACACGCCCTTGCACGAGTGCTGCACCGCCCTTTGTGCATGCACACAAGCACACACACATGCCTTCACGCATGCACACAAACGCAGGGGAGTGCCCCACCTTCCCCAGCCAGTCCACGGGGCTAAAAAGGTTGGGGACCGCTGATCTAAGGGACATGGTGGTGCTGCAGGTTAAACTGCAGAAGCTTCTGTACTGCAAGGTCAGAAGACCAGCAGTCGTAAGATCGAATCCACACGACAGAGTGCGATCCCATCGCTTGTCCAAGCTCCTGCCAACTTAGCAGTTGGAAGAATGTAAAAATGCAAGTAGATAAATAGGTACCACCTCGGTGGGAAGGTAACGGCATTCCGTGTCTAATCACACTGTCCACATGACCATGGAAACTGTCTTCGGACAAACACTGGCTCTATGGATTGGAAATGGGGATGAGCACCGTGTCCTAGAGTCAGACACGAGTGGACTAAATGTCAAGGGGAGCCTTTGCCTTTACCTTTACAGTATCATCCAAATTGTGAAAGACAGCATTTGTATGTTTGCAGCACTTCTATAACACCAGTTGGAAAGAAGTTACATGGGAATTTCACAAGTAAACGTTAAACCCCTTAAATATAAAAATAAAACACCAAAATGAAATCTACAATGCTGGAAACAGCATCAGAATAAAATTTGGAAAGCAACAATAGAAAGGGCTGTTTTAAAAGCTGGGGGAAATAAAAAGACCACCTGGTACCAAAAATGCTACAACTTTCATAGTGGGTTAGCCTCTCTGGGAAGGGTATTCGAGAACCACTATCGAGGTCATCTCCCTAATTGCCTCCTGCCTCATTTCATTAAGAAGCAGAACCCCAAAAAAGGCCTGGAAAAGTGGTTCAAACTGCTTAGGGAAGGAACTGCTGGACAGCTCAGTGATGTAGATCTCTGGCTGTGGAGTCAGAGGCTAGAAGTTTGATTCCCCACTGGGCCTCCTTGACAGGAGCTGCACTTTATGGTCCATATGATGCCACTGATAATACTAATGGAGATGATCCTGCAGAAAACCTGGCTGTAATACATTTGTTAATTCCAGAACACTGTGTTGGGCCCAGAAACAGATAGGGAGTCAGTACAGATGCCAGAACGATGATGGAATGTGACTGCACCAGTCCTATCTACATGCAGAATGAGGGGAGGGTTGAAGATTTGCTCCTCCCCACTCATAAAGGGCAACATGTCACTCGTGTACCTCAATTCATGTAAGAAAACATGGAGAAGACAATAGTATGGACCTTGTTTTCTTGCTTCCGGTGATATTTAAGCTCCCAGTGTTTGAATCACTGCCAACTGTCAGAAGCCCAAAGTTATGTAGATGCTGACTTAGATGTAAGAACCATTCAGTTCAATGGCACTTAGTCCCAGGTCAGTGTACACAGGACTGCAGTGTTAATTACTACAAGGAATATTCCTAGCCAGACTTGCCGAACAAAATTAGGATTGTGCAGATTGGTATTTTGGAGATATTGTTAAGAAATGCAGCTGCATGGAAAATAAAAAGCAAAAAATAAAAATAAAAATGAAGGTCTGAATAAAATGGGGGCACTGTATTAGAAGCACAAAATTCATTACAGCAGAAATAACGTTCTCGAAATAGCATGATGGCTTGATCTAACAGTTTTCTATTGTGTAGGCAGATTAAATAATACAAGTTGCATGTGTATAGTGTCACACTACTACAGTACTTGTACTGTAGTTAAAATTTAGTGCAACTACACTAAATGGTTTTTTCATTCCAATAGCATTGCACTAGACTTAGCCCAAAAAAAACTGTATCTGGTCAGTTATGAAACAATCATACAAGCTCCTCATCCTAATGCCAAACAAACTTGGACTCACTGCATTTATCTAGTCTATGTCAGTTTAGTTTAGGGAACTGATCCAACAGCTATTCATTCTGCTATATATTAAGGCTGAATGAGCAATGTAATTTTTTCTCTGGTTCTGCTTAAATCCTAACACCAAACATTCACTGGCATTTGGATATGAGCTCCTGCACTGCTTATCTTGTACATCTTTGTCATGTCTCGTGTTGTATAGGAATTAACTATCTATTAGGATCTTGAAATGTAGAGTCCACTAACAACAGTCATATATGCACCAAATACTGCATTCTGTGAATATTGGGTAGGGTGTCAGAGAGGCATGGGTGTGAGCATAACTAGGCCTGTGGTGTAATTTTTGTCCATATTTGTACTTTGCTCCAGTGTCTCCCGAAAAGCATTTTGCTCTGCCTCAATATCATTCAAAGGATTACTTAGATACTACTATTCTCAGGCTTTTATCCACAAAGAAAACTTAGGACATGCCAACACTTCTTAATACTTTTAAAAGACTGTAGTCACACAGGCTGTTAGAACTTCTGTTTCCTTTCACAATATTTTTTTTATTTCTTTTATTTATATCCTGCCTATCTGGTCAGTTAAGACCACTCTAGGCGGCTAGTATCTGGTAAAGCAAGCAGTGGAGAAAATGCAGGAGAGTGCAGAAAGATAGAGGGACATGGAAAACAGGGAAGAATAGATAGTGATCAATGGTGGAAAGAAAAGATGGGGGTCATGAAAAGACTATTACACTTAACAGAGATGAAATCATAGGAATTAGAAAGAACATCATTTCAAGGATACACTGGCTCTATACATTGCTCACTCACTTCAGACCTATGATTGCTAGCAGAAGGGTGGTGCTGGGTTCACAAGAGCAAATTGGTTACTATATAAGAATATGTGGGTTAGTTAGACTGTTCTCTCAGGCCACAGGAAGCAAGAAGATTCCTTAGCTCTTCCTGTATCTAACATGGAGGTGGCCCATCCTTTGGTGGCTGCCAGAGGTGCTTAAGAGCAGGGGCATCTTTCATGTTGGCTTGTATTTATAATCATGTTTGTTTTTCAAGTTTTCAGCAAAAAACTACAGCATTACCTTTTTTTAATTAAAAGCATGGTATTGTGAATGAATAGAAAATGTAAATCCCAGTTAATACAGAAATAATTGGGACCACCTATGGAATATTTAAAAGGGGAATATCATCAAAGGAGACCTGTAAAGAATCAGTTGTATAAACCAAAATAACAGAAATCAGGATTTTGTCTTAAAATGTAAATAGCCTGGGATCAGTTGGAAAGAGGTATGCATCCTGAAGGGTATGAAACAAAAGAATCCTTTAAATAAACGTTTTAAATAAGGTTCTGAAGTTTATTTTCATGCCTTTTCACAATAACACTTCACGTTTAGGCCGCGAAAGACCACGAGCCACCCAAGGAGTTAAATCTACCCGCTCGATAACAACAGGTCAAACGCTGCAAACGAACAACCCGACTGAACGGCTCTGGAAAAAAAATTAAGTTTGCTAACTCGGGTTCTTCGAGGTGAGATTCCTCGTTTGGGAGAAATCTCTCTTGCTCCCTGACGGCGGTGAGGGAGGCCCTGAATGCAAAACGGAGGGCCGTCCGTTCCCACATTTCGGCGGTGGTGGCTGAATTGGCGCGGCCCTCAAGAGACTGCAAGAAGGCGGGTGAGTGAGGGGCCTGTTTTGTGGGCGTGCGAGCATTTGTGGCGGGAAAAACCAAGGACGGGGAAAGCCCTGCCGCACTGGGGCTGCTGGCGCGGAGCCAGGCGCCGGTCCCAAGACAGCGGGCGGCTCGCGTCTCTCCCTGGGG